ATTTAACCGGTGAGCCCGGCTACAATGGCAAAAAGTAAGCTACTTCCTTTAATGATTTCGGGTTGAAGTCTTAACTGTGACATTCCTTCTATTCTAGGGGCGTGCCTGGTGATGTTGGCAGCGTAGGCTTTAAGGGCGACAAGGGTGAGCCACATCCCGGTGAAATAATTGAAAACCGTGGTGAGCCTGGAGATGTTGGCTATCCCGGCGAACCTGGCTTCCGCGGACCCAAGGGCGAGGCTGGCGAGCCTGGCCTTAAAGGCATAACGGGTGATATGGGCATTCCCGGCGAAGTCTTCGTGGGACCACCTGGAGCCAAGGGCTATAAGGGCGAAAATGGCGACTATGGACTACACGGCCTGCCTGGCAAGCCTGGTAGAGACGGTGAGCCCGGTGCGCCTGGCGTGACCGGCTACAAAGGATATCGTGGTGAGCCTGGTCAATATATTCTGCCTGGAGAGATCGGCGTATCTGGCCGACCAGGTATTAAGGGCATACTTGGTGACGAGGGACCAATCGGTTATCCCGGTCCCAGGGGCCGACCCGGACCGAAGGGAAGCAAGGGCGTGACAGGTGATGACGGTTTCATGGGTATGACAGGTCTGCCCGGCAACAAGGGACAGCGTGGCGACATTGTGGTTGGACCTCCTGGCCGACAGGGTGAGCCTGGTCGCTCGGGCAGCGTGGCCCTGCACGGTGTTAAGGGCCAAAAGGGTGAGGTCGGCTTCCCCGGACAATTCGGCCAGAATGGCGCCAAAGGCAGTATTGGATATCCAGGACGCGCTGGCCGAGTTGGCGATCCAGGTCCAGCCGGTTATCCCGGCGAGCCGGGTCCCTCTGGCCTGGCCGGTATTCCCGGCGAGCAGGGTGATCGCGGCGACATTGGATTTGATGGACGAACTGGCGATCTAGGTCCACGCGGCGCAGTCGGTGAATTTGGACTCAAAGGTTTATATTGTTTACCCTTTCTTCATGCTTCCGAAAGGCTAAATGTGTGGTCTCTGTTTTTGTAGGTGTTACCGGAGACATCGGTCCTTTCGGATACCCCGGAGTGCCTGGCAGGCCCGGCGTCAAGGGCGCGCAAGGTGATCAAGGTGTGTCGGGACGTCGCGGTGCCAAGGGCGTGTCCGCCTACAGCGGCATCAAGGGTGATCAGGGTGATGGCGGCTGGCAGGGCCCACCTGGTTTCGATGGAGCACCCGGCTTCAAGGGTGAGCGCGGTGCACCAGGCGATTCATTGCCCGCCTCTGATGGTCTGCAGGGCTTTAAGGGCGAGGTTGGTGCGCCCGGTCGCAACGGATTGCCCGGCTTGCATGGCTTGAAGGGAGCACGCGGAGAGATTGGCTATTATGGCCAGCCTGGAATAATCGGTGATCAAGGTGATGATGGTCAGCCTGGCTACCCCGGTCGCCATGGAGCTGCCGGACTCAAAGGCGAAGCTGGTGAAGTCGGACTCACGGGCGCACCCGGTGAATTTGGAGATATCGGCGATGTTGGCTACCCAGGCGCCCCAGGATTGCAGGGCGACGAAGGACTGGCCGGTGAATATGGTCTAAGCGGCAGCACGGGTCAAACCGGCGAACGGGGTGACATCGGTGATGTTGGCGAAGTTCTCTACCTTGGCAACATAGAAGATACCCGCGGTGAGACCGGAGATCATGGACTAACAGGCGAGACAGGCCCGACGGGAGAGCCCGGCATGGTCGGTGCTGCGGGCTACCGTGGTGCACGTGGCCAGCCCGGTGATATCGGATTCGGGGGTCAGCCTGGATTTGATGGCCTGCCAGGACCCAAAGGCATAGAGGGCGACAAGGGCTTGCGGGGCGTTCCCGGTGCAAGACTCAATGCCGAACGCGGTGACGAAGGTGACCAAGGCTATGACGGGCTTGCCGGACGTCCAGGTCGCTATGGCCCGAAGGGCGCACCCGGTGAACAGGGCGAATACGGACTTAACGGCGAGATCGGTCCTCAGGGTCCTGTGCGCATCGGTCCCGCCGGTCCACCCGGCGATTTTGGCTATCCCGGACCGCCCGGACGCAATGGATTGCACGGCCTGACTGGAATTAAAGGCGAACGCGGCAATACCGGCCGAAAGGGCGAATTGGGTGAAGCTGGCTTTGCCATCTGGGGCAGACAAGGTGACACCGGCGACAGAGGTGAGCAGGGTGCACTCGGCTACGATGGCGCCAAAGGCGAACAAGGCTTCAGTGGTCGTCCAGGCCGCACCGGCTTCATTGGTCCGCGCGGACCACGCGGCCCTACCGGCGATGCCGGCTGGAATGGTATCGACGGCGTCGACGGTCTGTCCGGCCAGAAGGGTGAAGCTGGTGTCACCTATTCCTACACGTATGCCCGTCCCGGCGATCGTGGCGAGCCCGGCCTGGATGGCTTCAAGGGTGAGCAGGGCGACATTGGTGCACCCGGCTTTCTGGGTGCTATCGGTCTACGCGGTGTTGTTGGATATCGTGGTGATGCGGGCGAGATGGGCTACCAAGGCCCAGACGGCATCCAGGGCCAACGCGGCGACATTGGTGCAGTGGGCTTGACCGGACGCATTGGAGCTCAAGGTCAGAGCGGTGCGCCGGGTGACCCAGCGCCACCGCCGCCGCCACCGAAGAGCCGTGGCTTCATTTTCACGCGCCACTCGCAGTCCGTGCAGATACCCGTGTGCCCGGCCAATACGAACATGCTGTGGGAGGGCTACTCGCTGTCTGGCAATGTGGCCAGCAGTCGCGCCGTCGGCCAGGATCTGGGCCAGTCCGGCTCCTGTCTGATGCGCTTCACCACGATGCCCTACATGTTCTGCGACTTCAACAACGTCTGCAACTATGCACAGAACAACGACGACAGCCTGTGGCTATCCACCGCGGAGCCCATGCCCATGTCCATGACGCCCATTCAGTCCAGAGACCTCATGAAGTACATTTCCCGGTAAGCACGAGACCCGCCAGACTTCTCCCTTGATCTGTCCCATAATCTGTCTATGCCCGCAGCTGCGTCGTGTGCGAGACCTCAACTCGAGTTATTGCCCTGCACTCGCAGTCCATGTCCATACCGAACTGTCCCGGCGGCTGGGAGGAGATGTGGAGCGGCTACAGTTACTATATGGTGAGGATTTGAACCTGTTTTTGGGTGCCAGCCTAATCTCTATTGCTTGCTCGACACAGACTACCATGGATAACACGGGCGGCATAGGCCAAAATCTGGTCTCGCCCGGCTCCTGTTTGGAGGAGTTCCGCTCCAATCCCGTCATCGAGTGCCACGGCCATGGACGCTGCAATTACTACGATGCGCTGGCCTCCTTCTGGCTGGCCGTTATCGAGCAGCAGGATCAGTTTGTGCAGCCGCGCCAGCAAACATTGAAGGCCGATCAAACCAGCAAGATTAGCAGGTAAGTGGAAGATCCGGCAAACGGAACAAGGATCGCACTTCATCGTGTTTGCCTTTCAGATGCACTGTGTGTCGTCGTCGTGGCGATAGCTTCTTCACAGTCAAACGGACTTCCTCAACATACAGCTCCGGCTCCGGTTCGGGCTCCGGCTCGAGCTCTTGGTCGTCGTCGTCTTCGGCTGGCGCCAGAGCGCCAGCGCCTTCTCCGTACTCCAGCTGGTCGGGCGGCTATCCGAGCGTCGATTTCCGTTCGGCACCGCAAACAGTACGTCAGCCGCAGCCGCAGCCACAGCCGGCCAACTACAACCGTCAGCCCAACTATCGGAACCCCTATCAATACGCCGGCACGCGCCAATATCGTCGGCGTCCGCGCGACGACACCTACGCTCCTTAGATGCACAGCTCCGTTTACGTACTAAGTAGCAGTTAAATAATAAATAATTAAGTCTAAGTCGCTAACACAAATAGAAAACCCCACTCGCTATAAAGCCCCAAGTTCAGTTTGGGAACGCAATCTAATCTAAATGTCGAAACAAAAGTGAGCAAAGATACCAAAAAATAATTACGTCTAGCGAGGCGAAGGAGCAACAACTTCCACTGTCATAATCCACTGCCTCTCCCTGCAAAACATGTAATCCACCTCTTGAATTTTCCTCTAAAGGATTACAGCTTAACACAAACACAACGCGAAACAAAACCCAGTTTTTGATAAATAAAAATTTACACATCATAAAAGTAATGCCATAAATGTTCCTGTTCTATCTGATACCAATTTAATCTAAACGTGAAAGAAGGACTATCTTCGGCACGCCGAAGATTTAATACCCTTGCAGACCCAATCTTTTCATAATGCTCGTATCTCAGAAGCACAGGGAAAAGAGTTAATGCTGAGTAAGGTTAAGATATCTTGAACAACAAAAAAGTTTTCCATACAACAACTTAATTTTCGACCGATCGTTCCCATGGCAGCTATATGATATAGTAGTCCGATGTAAAAAAGATTTTGCATAAATGGATGGAGCATAGTAAAACTAATAAATGCCGAGTTTGATCAAGATATCATGATAAACGAAAATGTTTTTAATACAAGAACTTAATTTTCGACCGATCGTTCCTATGGCAGCTATATGATTTAGTGGTGGCAGCTATATGGTAGTTTAGTGGACTTCTGCAAAGTTTCATAAAGATAGCTTTAAAACTGAGAGACTCGCTCGCATAGAAACAGACAGACGGATATGGCTATATCGACTCGGCTGTTGATACTGATCAAGAATATATATACTTTATGGGGTCGGAGATGTCTTCTTCTATGCGTTACACATTTCACGACAAAATTATAATACTCTCTGCAGGGGTATAAACAGGGTCTTAAAATGAATAAGGTAAATCATTTTATTTTATGTTTGTTCAATTTCAAGGTAAACGTTTTATCAGCTTTAACTTGTTTAGAAGCTTTTGGACTTTGAACTTTTACCTGCCAAATCGGCAAGTCGTAAGATTTCACAAAGAAATCCATTTTGCATGTTTTGAATTTGATTATTTCCCCATTTAAAAATTAAACAAATATCCGATGCCCACTGATTCAATACTTTCTAAAATTGAGAATCCAATTTTTAGTTTCAAAATTTTTTTATTAATTTTACTTAGATTGGGACATTTGAATCCTTAGTATTTACTCTTCTTAGACTTCAAACCTCTTACCGCTTCCTTGGTTTGTGCTCCAAATTGATTGATGCATCACATTAATTTGCATTATTTATTAAAATAAACTTGTTCATTAAATGTATGGAAAATAATTTCTTGCTCGATAGAATGCGAAAATAGTCAAATTTAAAACTATATTGATTTCAGTTTGAATCAATCGGAAAAAAGGATAGGCCTTCACATATATTTGGTGGCAATATTATAAAATAGAGTGCATATTTTTTTAAATGTTTGCCAAGTATTAGCCCGATGCCCGCCACAAGGTGTGGCAACTAAAACAAATGCACACATTAACATTATTTATACTAAATAGCTTGCTTAATGGGGAATTTGTGGGTGACACCGATTAAGGATAAACAAAGATACACATAACTATTTACGTAACGCAGAGACAAAACCGTTTAGTTAAATCTAATTATCCACGTGTCCAGCTTTCCAGTTTTGGATTTAATATGTTTGTTTAATGCTTCTGTTTTTGGTGTTCTTCTAGTTGTTCAGCAGTTGTTGTCGGTGCCTCTGCTCAGTGCTGGGCGCGCTGGGATACTATTATTTAACAAAGTCGGGATTCTCCTGCACGTTCTCGGTGAACTGCAGCTGATTGTCGATTATTTGGAATAGCACCTCCGGCGCCGGAAAGCGGCCGGTTTGGATTTTCGACCAAACGGGCACATCATTTAATGTTATCTCAAAGGCGCCCGACGAGATCAGCTGTCCCTCGATCATGTTGCCCAAAAAGAATATCATCATACAGGCATAGATCTTGTTGCCCTGCAGATGATTCCACCAGCCCGGCGTATTCAGGCCCAAACAGGTGAACGGACTCACAGATGTCACCACAGACACAATGATAAGTATTTTCAGTGCGAATATCAGCTTCGATAGATAGTAATTCATGCCGGGCGGATCATAGTTGGCGCCATGAATCTGTATCTGTGGGTACTTCTCGCCCAGGATATTCACATAGTCCTCGAACGCCTTGCGATAGCCGCACGAGTAACTATGAGAAAAACAATTGCAAATGAAAAAACATGACACATTAATGCGATAACGGATGTCATCGTGACCAGGCGGCAGCCACTAATTTACACCTACCAATAAAGAAATGTCATCGTTGGCGCAACGCTCTGTCCAAATTTGGTGGCCGGTATTTCCTTGCCGCCCTCAAAGGCCAGTGCATAGCAGGCGCACAGGCAGAGTACAAGCAATGCCAGATTTCTACCATTTGTTGATTCCATTTTGTTGCTTTATTTCGTTTTAATTTCAGTCGCAAAACCAGCTGGGCAAAGAAATCGGCAGCAAGCAAAGGAAATTTATCTCTTTATCTTCTACCAAAATTGCCATTCAGCGGTATGTATAAATTTATCGATAGGTTGATATGATGCATACAAAATATTGCTATCGATTTTCACGGACTAATCTTACAACAATTTTCACATATATAGACGAGACGAGAAATAAACAAGATGAACGTTGTTTAACTGATCGTTAAACTTGCTCTATTCAAAGGCTTTCCAAAGCACTCTACGCTAATCAATTCCGTGAGAGTGTGACGTATTTGCGTCGTCATGCAGACTGAACGTGTACGGCGCCGGCTGTACCGAACAGCTGTTGTGACATAACCTGCTTGCATTTAAAATGCTGCGCCGTGTAAATAACAATAACGAAACTTCATAAATGTGTATTAAATCTTATATTTTGAACAATTGCAGATATTACCCACGGCGCGACTGTCGCTGCAGTTGTCAAAACCTGCAATTACAGTAACCCGATCAAGCAGCTACAGCGTCTATGAGCCGGACTACCTCGAGGTACTTAACAAATATGATTATAATCAAGTACAAATTATTGTTACTCTATTTTATGCACACTTAAGTCCCTCAAGCCCAAGTTCCCGCAATATGAGAGCCTAAATGTGCAAATCAAAGGGTACGATTACCCGCTGCTCGAGAGCTATCAACGTTTCCTGCACAGCGTGGCCGAGTATCTGGATCTGGATGTCTCCGATTGCTATGCCCTACCCCCGCAGAAGACTCAAGTGCAACGGCTGCGTCCAAACTCCACGGTCATTGAGTCCGAATACAAGCTGACCACCTACGAACGCAATCTGCAGCTGAGCAATGTGGATGCACCGATCTATCCACAATTTCTGCGCATTGCACAGGCGGCGCTGCCCGAGGGCGTTCACCTGTCCGTTTCGGAGCACACGGATGAGCATGAGGAGCGTCGCTATGTGCCAGACAAGGATCTGCTCGATCTGAAGGCGGAACTGGAGCGTATGGGCGGTGCCACACCCACAAAGAAAAAATAACAAAACCATTGTCATTTGGCATATGGACAAACATTACAAATCTAGTTTATTTTTATTATTGAATAAATCTGTATAAAGTAAAAAGTGAAATGTCTAAAACAAACTTTCCTATTTAAAGCTTTGCACTAACTGGACGGCAACGTTTACACATGGAAGACGCATCTCTAAGCTAAATACACCTAAACTAATTGATTGCACTATGATATAAACTCTTAGACAACGCCAAAGTGCACCACTTTGATGGAGGACGAAGAGCTGGGCGTTGTTTTGTTGCTGGACGCATCCTCCTCCCTGCGACGCGTTGGCGGCTTGCTAACATCTGCAGAGGAGAAGACAGAGAAATTAAGAGGGATATATTCTATATATGCCTTTACTACTCACTAGTTGTGACGGGATTAAAATCCTTTAAGTACTCATCATTCGGATGGCAAAGCGGCAAACTATCAGCTAGTTCCTTTCTGGGATTGGTCAAATGTCGCGCTGCTGGTCGCGAGTAGCCATTACGCTTGGGCGGCATGGGTTTCTCTTTGCGCGGAATTTCCTAGCAAATCAAACGAGTCGCCGTCAAATGTGTGCAGTCAAATGTTTAAAAGGCAAGACTTACCGGCACCACAGCAACCTGTATCGTGTCCGAGAATTTAACTTTATTCTTTTCGGCTGGCGTGGTTTTCACGCTGGGCGTCGCAGGCGTCTCTCCATTGAGCGGCGCTGCTGCAGCATTTGAGAGTATGGAAGCGGTGGGCTTTTTGAGCAACAAACGCTTTTGATAATCCTCATTGCCGAGTGCGGGCAGCATAGCGGGTATGTTGCCGGACACAAGTGGATGCTGATAAAACTTGGGCTGATGTAGCGGAGCTGGCGCCATCTGAGAGCCGTGCTCCACAAAGGCTGCGGGCTGCAGACGTGCCACCGGACTGCTGGGCAAGGGCAGGCCCACTGTTTGATCCGGCACATCCTGTGACCAGCCATTGCCTGCAAAAGCAACTAAATTGTGGTAAGCTGTTAATGTAAAAAATATTTTCTGATGCTCACCATTCGAATTTGTATGCTTCGCAGGTGCCTGGCTACCACTTTTCTGGGCCAGCGCCACCAGCGATGTTGTCGTGGAGGCGCTACTCAGTTTGGTTGTTCGCAGCTCCGGCAACGGAGGCCGCAGCTCCGGCTTGGGTATGTTAATCTTAATCATTTCGGCATTGAATATTTTGGACTTGAATGAGGGCAAGGGTGGCACATAGTTTTTCAGCGCCTGCTGACTGGGCGTCGAGTAGCTGGACTGCGAGCAGGCGGAATCGGGGCGCAGTTCGCTGGCTAAGGTCAGGCTGAGATTGCCATCGGCATGGTGCTCGCCATGAATGATGGCGGCGGCTTGACTGAATGCGGCCTGAGCAAATTCGCTCAAGCTGCCAATGCATTTGGTCAAATTGTAAAGGTCCATAAACAGATCGTAATCCGCAATGTCATGGGCAATCTCGAAGGCTTCGCTGAACAGGTTTTTGCTGTGGAAAGAAGAACCTTCGTTAAATGGAATTGAATACAAACAAATTCGAACCTACCGCAGCAGAAAGAAGCAAAAGCGTCGCTTAAGATCGTAAACCTGATCGCTAAACTCGTCCTTGGTATCCTCGGAGAGCGTGTGCGCAAAGGTTTTCAAAGCTCTGGCCATTAGATCGCATCGAGCACGTCGCTGATCCGCCGCAAAGAATATATAGTTGGCAATCTTGTGCAGCGTAATGAGGCACATGGCGCCGTAGGTCTCCCAGTTGAGCGCTGCCAGCACATTGACCGCACGCTCTGGCTGCTGCAAGCGCAAATACTTGTCCGCAATAACGTCCGCGGTCAGGCCGGAGTTGTGTATATCACCACGCATGCCGGCGCCGCCAAAGATGCGCATGCAGGCCAATGGTCCCTGCTCGTACAGCAGCAGGAGCAGGCAATCCGTTTGAGCGTAATTGTGCGAGAAGCTGCTCAGATCCGGCTTGCGACTGAAGGCAATGCTCAGCAGCGTCGGCTGCGCGGCAAAGTAGTGCGACAAATCTAGCAGACTCAGCGGGGTGACGCTCTCGCTCAGCAGCTGATTGCCAATGGGCGCCAGCGCCAGATCGAAGCACTGCAGCACCGAACGCTCATTGGCGACGCACAGCAGCGCCGAGTCGCAGTGCCAGGCGCATTGGGTGGGCACAATCTCGATTTGATTAACATATTTGGTTGTCTGCAGCACCAGATCGTGCAGGCAAATGTTGCGATCAATGCTGCCCAAAAAGAGCTTCTCCTGGTCGGGACTGAAGGCAAAGCAACAGATCTGTGTGCCCATGGCAATGGAGGTAATTGCGGTGCGTTGCATTTTGCCCGTGGCCAGCTCATAGGAGCAAATCTCGGCACTGATGTCGCCCTTGCGTGAGACCTTCTGTTCCAGCGTGATGATCTGATTCTCTGAGCTGCGCAAAAAGTCCACGCACAGCGGATCGTTCTCCGACCAGCAATAGGCAATGGATTCCAGCTGCAAACTAAACCAAGTTTCAGTTAATTAGAAGCAATTATTTTTAACACTTTTAATAGTTACGCCTTGATCTTGAAGATGTGTATGTTGGCACGATCCTGATCGCGTATGGTGGGTCGCCAGGGATAGACTTCGTTTTGTGAGGATTGTGTCCAGACAACAAACAGATCAAAGCTGCCATTTACAGTTAAATGGCGTGCCAGTTTACGCTCGGAAGCGGCACCCGGTATGATAACATGAAATATACGCGGCTCCATGTTGGCAATCTTCTCCGGCCCCAGCGGTCGCAGGTTGGGCCGCTGCAAATGCACCACCGTCAGCTGGTTGGTATTGTAGGCCAAGACGATGTGGGAACGTGTAAAAAATGCTGCCAAGTAAGAGACAAAGTGCATAAACAAAACATGAAAGCGCGCGCGGGCACAGATTAATTAAAAATTACAATAATTGCATGTGGAATGTGCTGTTGCTGTTGTTGTTGTTGTTGTTGCTTGTGGGAAAGTGCCTGCGCGTCGTTAGAAATGCAAATTTCTCCAGCAAAGCAGCACACGCACAGCACGGCACACACTCAAGACTCGACTCACCATCGGTAATGAGCTCGGCGGCCAGTTTGCCAACCAGATACTTTTCAAAGACCATGCGCAATATGTCGCCCGTATAGATGTCGACACAGATGTGCGCAATGATGCCATTGTCGAAGAGCAGCAGCACCTGTGCCGCATCCTGCCACTCTGAATGCACCAGTTTGTGTGTGCGCAGCAGGTCCTCAAGTTTCTTTAGATTATCCTTGAGGCGTCCCGCCGCCTTGCGGCTATTCTTTAGCACGGCCAGGCCATTGCGACGCTCCGTATAGTCGCGTTTGGCCTGGGCGGTCAGCTCCTGGGAGAGATCACGCTGGCGCTTATAGCGAAAGGCACCCAAATCGCTGCTCTTGATGCGCACCTCATCGCGCAGCGTTGTCCAGAAGTGCAGCTCGCTGAGCAGCATGACGCCTTCAACGCATGGCCCCGATGCGAACGCAAATGTAAATGAGCATTGGAAACGGGGTGTGGGGCACAAATGGATGTCCAAACGGATGGATTGGGGCCAAGCAAGTGGCGCATGCGCAGCCCACGATACCAACAATTAAGCACACAGTCTACAAACTTATTAACAACTACCAAATATTTTGCACACTGCACGTTTTAAATAGTTACAAGTTGATTTTTTTTTTTTGTTGGCAAAACTACGACGCACGCAAACGTAAACACTGAAAATTGGAGTTTTTAGTGCTGGCAGTGATGCGATCACTTGTTGCTTCGATAACTGTTATCGAAACTGATATCGTTATGCAGCGTGGCCGTAAGTTAATCGAATGCAATTCGCGGCGCCAAAGTTTGAAAACCGTTTGGATGCCGTGGCTCCACAGGTTTGTTATCTCAAAAATATTTTGTGATATGTTGTGCATCAACGCACCCAGGGAAAAGTTTCTTGATGTCCGGGAACCACCATCTTTTTTTTTTTGTGGTGGGCAACTTTATAATTCCCAGTTTAATCGCCATTTGTACGCCACACGCGTTGGACTCTGTTCCACATTTGGCAGACATGGCGCCGATAAGATTAAAGCAAAACGAACCATAGTTGGCGCTTGACCATGTATT